TTGGTTTGTGTCATGTTATGACGGCATTTGACCCCCCGTTCGAAAGGTTATTTTATGAGGATTTCAATGGTGGTTTTCGTTTTAAAGGGCGAGCAAATACTTGCCGAGATATTTAAATTTTCCCCACTCCAAAGTCGGAAATGCAAATATGAACCGGACGACAATCCTTCGTCCACAATTGCAGCGGACGCCATCTTGAATGCAGGATTTGCCAGTCGCTCCGCAACTCCTCCCCTTCCCATCGTCCCGCGCGCCCCCATTAATTTTCGTCTTTTACTAATTAATTATTTGATAGCAAGCGACTGGGGACGAGGCAGGGTGGGTCGTGCGTCGTGGGTCGTGCGTCGTGGGTCGTGCGTCGTGGGTCGTGCGTCGTGGGTACGGTGTTGAGCGTCGTATAGACAATGGAAATATTTTTTAAGACAGATAGACGGCAGACGGACGGACGGATGGATGAGAGGGTAAAAAACGGGCGGACAGGAGGGTAAAATGCGGACGGATGAGAGGGTAAAATGCGAACGGACGGTGAGAGGGTAAAATGCGGATATGAAGGCATATAGAGTGGTATTTGTATTTTTCATGCAGAATTAAAATCCCAACCTTTGCAACTTTCATGCTTATTCATTTCTTTGTTATCTGGGTATGTAGTAATTTAATTTTATGCCACTTTAATGTGCTGTTTTTCAAGGGCTTTTCAATGCAGTTATCGGTTTAAATATACCTAAAATGCCCGTTGAGATATGACAATTACAATACGGCCTACGTTTACGCAAATTCGAATTACAATGGCAACATTCATGCTTAATTTTCTCTGTTATCTGTGCATGTAGTAATCCAATTTTATGCTACTATAATGTGCTGTTTTTCCAGGGCTTTTCAATGCAGTTATCGGTTTAAATATACCTAAAATGCCCGTTGAGATATGACAATTTCAGTACGGCCTACTCTTACGCAAACGCGAATTACAATGTCAACATTCATGCTTAATTTTCTCTGTTATCTGTGCATGTAGTAATCCAATTTTATGCAACTATAATGTGCTGTTTTCAAGTGCTTTTCAATGCAGTTATGGTTTAAATTTACCTAAAATTCCCGTTGAGATATGCGACAATTTCCGTATATATATATACGGCCTACTTTTACGCAAACGCGACTGCAATTGCCACTTTCATGATTTCCTCTGTTAAGACAACATCCAGTCGCGTTGTAATCTAATTTTATGCCATGACGCTATTTTATGCCATGACGCTATTTTATGCCATGTGCTATTTTTGAGGCAAGGCATTTTTTAATACTGTGGACTGGTGGGGCATATGCCCCACTGGGCCCCTTCCTCTGCCCCACAACTAAAAAAATGGCCTATTGCTCTAAAGCCAGGTCCCTAAGACTTGTATGAGTAAATGAGTTTAACATTGAAAAAAAGTTTAAAAAACTAAATTTGTTGGTGCAGCATACTAGTAACTGAACATATGTTGTGTTTGAACTGAACTTATGTTGTGTTTGAATCGAACTTATGTTGTGTTTGAATGTTTAGCATGCAATTTATTACAAATTTCACCTGATTAAAACTTTTTTAAAAAATGTGTCCTTAGAATGCACGAAATGCTATTTCAGAGACCAAATTATAAAACCATCCCTAGCTAACTCGAGCCTATGGTACTCGGCTCACACCTTCGGCGATCGTATACTATCCTGCATGGGGGAGGACAAGGAGAGAATGGGCCATTTAGCAATTTTGCCCCACCCTGACTGAAGAATCCTTAAAAAATGTACTGTTTTGAAGGACTTTTCAATGCAGTTATCCGTTTAAATACCTAAAGTTTTGACGAGCTAGTATACCGCCCAGATAACAGACAAAATTAAGCATGAAAGTTGCAATTGTAATTCACGTTTGCGTAAAAGTAGGCCGTAGTTTTCAAAAAAATGGAGCGACACAGTTTTCAAAAAAATGGAAACCATTTAGATCGGTATTTTAATAAATTGTCAAAATAATTGAGTATACTAAAAGAAATAATTTTATGAAATAAAAATTGGGGCCTTATTTGGAGGTCAAGTTAAATTACTGTAATTAAATTCAACCACCCACAAGTTCAGCGAATCTACCAGCATTTTTGTCAATGTGGCCATAGTTAATAGAGATGTGGCATAGCTAAAAAGATTCGTGCAAAATTTTGGCAGTTCATGGTATAGTTCGGTTTTAAATTGTTTTGCGATTTACTGACGCACGACCCACGACGCACGACCCACGACGCACGGCCCACGACGCACGACCCACGACGCACGACCCACGACCCACGACGCACCCACCCACGCCAAATAGACAATCTCTATACCATATTGTTCTAGTTTTTGAATCAGAATCTTGTGATTAGTAGTGTCAAAGGCCTTTGACAAGTCGAGAAAGATTCCAATAGTGTATTCACATTTATCGATTGCTTTACTAACTTTGTCAACAAGTTCAATGACTGCATGTTCGGTGGATCTATTTTCTCCAAAACCATACTGACTATGTGTTAATAATTTATTTTTTTCAATGAACTTAATCTCTTATACATTAGTTTTTCTAGTAATTTAGAAAAACAAGAGAGTACAGAAATTGGTCGATAATTTTTTAATTCATTTTTTTGATTTGCTTTGTAGATCTTAATTGAAATAGCTGTGTACTGTACCTGGTATCATATACTGTAATGTGAGTATTTGTGTAGCCCCAGCGAGTTAACGCTCCATAGAGCGTCTTGTTCATTCACTATTCAGCAAGCCTATTTGTTGGTAACCATAAATTAACATACGAAAATAGTGTAATTTTGTTTAGAACTTATGCTGATATATTCATGAGGGAACTTTCTTTTTGTGCATGAGTTTGAGTGTATATAATTTAAACTAGAAATACATCATGCAACAACCCATCGTCTACATTTTCCAAACATTGTTTCAACATGAAGTACTCTAATTACGCCAACACGGCAAGCAGGTTCGCGTTGCTCGCGTCATGTTAGCCATGGCAACGTGATAATTGTTTTCTTAAATTTTTGTTCAAAACGGCAAAAACAAAAGAACTATCGATTTATAACATATATATAAAGTAGGTATATGTATTTTGTTTTCCATGCACGACTTTATTATAATGTAAAATTCGACACGAAACGCTTCGTAAAACGTTTTTTAATGTTCATTGAAATTAACTGCTTTTTGCTTGTGATGTTACTCTGAGTGTATATCCACACCAGGCAAGCTTGAACAATATGTCTGGCCACGGCTGGAATCGAACCTACGACCTTTGGAATACTAGCCCAATGCTCTGCCAACTGAGCTACGCGGTCAAGTCGGTACGTGAATGTGATACTTCGGAACTGAGTCTAGTAACAGAATAACATCACAAGCATCTTATTCACCTGAGTACATTGCACCAACACAAGAAATTAAAATAACTGCTTTTTGCCGAATAACTCTTCTACTTATTACTCGATGTACTTTTTTCGAATTCTCCTTTTTTGAGCTTTTATAAAAAGTATAACCAAGTTAATTCAAAGAAACTTTCACACAGAATGAAAAGAAAAGCTGTCAGTACATGTTCAAGTCCGAAAACTGGACAGCAAAGTCACACATAAACAGTAAAAACAAACTTACCCTATACTTTCTGCAAGATTTGAAAGAGGTGATTTACAACTTATTGTGTTAAAAGGTGTCCAAAGCTTTCTGTCATGCATGCGTTTTAATCTTTTCTTCCATCACTCCTGGCAACCAGCTATATTTTTGAGATCAGTGAGATGACCACTCATGCATAGCCATGCACCCACGATCATTGATGAACCTTTGACTTCGCTAGTGCTTTCCTTTCCCCGGGTGTAAATAGCCGAACGGAATTAGTACCCTAGCCACGGGCTTCGCCCTACGCGTTCCACGCTTGGCTCGGGGATGATGGAAGTGAAAAACTGGCGTGTCCCAGGAATCCCAAGCTCTGTTTTAATATGCCGAATAAGAATTATAGTATTTACACAAGTCAGACCTGAATGATCGTAGAAAACGTAAGTGATATTTACTAGATAAAGTACGAATCTATCATGATAATTATCTTCTTTAATGTTTTGAACTCCGGGCAGCACAAAACATGCATGCTTGCATTCTCTGTTTGCATTCTCTGTTTGGGCGCGGGAAAACCAGAGCTGGCCAGTTGTGTTTTAGAGCGGACCGGATGAGAAAAATCTATCAATAGTGAGTTTAAGATACCCCGGTTTCGGTGTACGGGTACGAGTAGTGTCATCTTGTTTACTAGTTTTTACTGATGTCTGTAATTCAATCATACTTTTTCTGTTTTCTTGCAACAAGACAATGATATCATGGGAAAAATGTGCACCTTAATTACGAGTAAAGGTACAGACATCGACGAAAATATTGCTAACCAAAATCATGCTACCCGTACCCGTACACCGAAACCGGGGTATCTTAACCTCTCTAATATATAGGGGTCGATCAGTTTGCTTTGTTATTTTCACGGCTTAATTTAAAAATAAAAATGCATATAATAGATTTTACTTGGTGGGACCCTTGAAAATGTCACGTTCCGCCTTGCCTGGATATTAATAAAAACAGGTCCTATAACCCTGTTCCATGTAAACAGAACGGTTGATTGTTCCCCGGGTAACTTCACTGCAACAGTTCCTAAAACTTACCCAAAATGGATCTTTTCCAAGAACATCCTCTGCAATTGCAAATAGCCCATACTGTAAAGAGCCTATGACTGCGTTTATTAAATGACCAACACCATATAATGTTCCAAAATGTAACATTGAAAATCTAAGTCAATGAAAATAACGAAAATCAGAAATCATTGGGCCTTTTTCTGCGATGGAAAACGCTTGAAAGGTAAAGAGACGATAATGAAGACAAATAACGTTTAATCATGATTTCTTCTGTGCTGGTGTAATGTACTCAGGTGAATATGATGTTTGTAATGTTACTCTGAGTGTATATCCACACCGGGCAAGCTTGAAAAATATGCCTGACCACGGTGGGAATCGACCACGATGGGAACCTACGACCTTTGGAATACTAGCCCAATGCTCTGCCAACTAAGCTCCGCGGTCTGGTCGGTTCGAGTATGTGATATTTCGGAACAGAATTCCTTCGATATCAATGTTATCTAATAATAATCATGATTTTTTCTTACACCAACACAGAAAAAATCATGATTATTATTAGATAACATTGATTTCGAAGGAACTAGATTCTGTTCCGAAATATCACATACTTCAACCGACCATATTTCATTTGTATTTTTATTTTAATACCTTTAACAAAGGGTTAAATTTGTTATTAGTTCAATGAAAATGGCTTGGATGGAAGAATAACGAGACCGAATTGTTGACAACCGACCCGGGATGACAAAAATGGCGCCGAATTTGGACAAAATTGTGGTTCATCGCTAGAAATCGCGGACATGAAATGCAGCGTGCATTCTCGCCCCAGTCCCCACGTTCGCTCTGATATTCAATTTAATTTTATCAGGAATGCAGATGGTTATCCAATTTTTACATAAAACATCTTTTAAGAATCATAGCAAATTAAAATTGCGCAGTGTGGAAACAAAATTCCGTGAACTAATCAAGGAAATAAGAAAGCAAACTAAAACCAATAATAAAATACTAGAAAACACATGCAAGAAACCCTCGCCTTGCTGACAAAACCATTGTATTTTCCGAACATGAAGTTATGGTAACACGATAATTTTTTAAGAATATTCTTACAAATGAAAAATCGCCTAAAAATATCACTTTTAATTACAAAATTATCAATTTCCCAACAAAAAAAAGTTATTAGTATAGGTAATAGCATGGTTTCGAGTGCAATTTGGATATAACATGCACGAGTGAGATTTTCAAAGACCTCGAAATAGCACGAGTCCGAAGGACGAGTGCTATTTGAGGTCTTTGAAAAACTCACGAGTGCATGTTTATCCAAATTTCACGAGAAACCATGCTATTACTTATTAATAATTTACATAAAAATGTTCGAGACAATTGTAGTTTTAACTTACGCGTTTATAGCGAACATTCCACCGGCAAACGTTTCCTGGCTTTGTTATATCACATTATGCAACGCTAACAGCTTGAAAATTCCACTCAACTATGTAATTTTTGTTAGTCTTGTTTAAGGTCAATGCTTTTCCATTTAAAAATAAAGATAAAAGCCATATTTTTCACGCGAAAGCAACTTTTACTTCACTGTAGCGCGGCGCCATGTTTTTTGTTTTGAAGCAATCTGTGACCGTTACTTCTTTAAACTAAATTGCTTTAAACTGATTGGTTGATTTAATCATTACAATGTTTTTCCACCAATCAGATCAGTTTGTTACAGATTTTTGCACTGTGATTACAGAAAATTGCACTGTGATTACAGAAAATTGCACTTTGATTACAAAAAATTGCACTGTGATTACAGAAAATTGCACTGCTCTTTGGGATTAACTGCACTGAAATCAACCAGTCACAGTCGAGTAATATCTTTATGTATATTATTATACGTAATATAAACCTCAATTTAGGGTAAAATTCAACCAGAAACGCTTCGCAAATTAAACGTTTTAAAGTGTTCTTTATAAAATTAAACTACCTTTATAAAATTAAACGATTTTATCGATAAACTTTGAGTTTGCAATAAAATGATTTTAATTTCTCGCTTGCACAAATAACTTTGCTTTCTTTTTTATTTAAAAAATTCAATATAATAAAAAAAGAGAATCAATTTTAAAGATACACTGAAATTATATGATGTCTTGTTTAGTTGTTTCATGTACGCAAAGGCCGTCGGGTTTTAAAGCCATTATAAAATCAATATTTAAAACAAACTTACCTTCGTTAACGTCGGCCCCCTTCTTTTAGCCGATTCTTTCGCCCCTTCTTTCTGAGAAAGCTTTTGAAATTTACAAAATCTTGCAAAAATGCGAGCACAAATGAAATATATTTGCAAGAAATTTATCAATCATCAAATCAAGAAATGTTTGCTATTTCGCTGTCGTCATGCAGTCCTTATAATGCAAACTTTAAATTGGACCAATCAGTGTCCGCTATTCATGACAGTCCGCCATATTTTTGAGATCAGTGAGGATGACCACCCATCGTTGGTGAGCCACGCCCGCGATAATTGATGAACTTTAGACTTCGCAAATGCTTTCGTTTCCCCGGGTGTAAATAGCCGGGGGGAATTAGTACCCTCCCACGGCGCTTTGCGCCGTCGGCTCGGGGATAGTAGGGAACTTAACTTTAGATTCGCTACGGCTACGAAATCTGGTACGACTACGAGATTTTTTCCGTTAAATATCTGCTACTACAGACTTTTTATCGTCCTTTCTTTTGTATACCACATCTTTATAGCAACAGTTGCGCTAAACCACGTACTATTATAAGTTTTTAGTAGCTGATATTTAATAGAAAAAATCTCGTAGTCGCGTACTAGATTTCGTAGCCTTAGCGAATCTAAAGTTCCCTAATAGCGACTTTGAGCATGTAGGACGGGAACGCGACGGCGACCGCAAACAAACTCATTGAACCAGATGATTGCAGAAGAAAACATGTCGTCTATTCTCCATCGTATGAAAATAATACAGTTTAAGGATTAAAATTAACACTGGGTTTATGATTGAGAAAAGTTCTAGGACCCAATTTAAAATAGCAGTTGTCCCAGCTTGAACATGTAAGCGTTGTATACAAGACGTGATAATCTGTATTTTGCCGTTGTAAAACAGAGCTACGGGGACGTATAAAACGTCCGTGAGATTTTTTTATTAATTTCTGCTCATTTTCTTGCATTAATATGATATTACTAGCTGTTATCGTTGCACTATCGTTCTGCTTTGTTGAAGTTCTTAATAACGGTAGTTTTTTATAATTATAAAAGTTTACACTTTTATAATTATAAAATTAATTTAAGGCGGTTTGTTGCCATGTCCTAGTTCTAGATTATTATAAGGTTTGCTTAAGTTCGCTAATGATTATTTACGATACTTAAAACTGGGCAACAACGCAGTAAATGTACGGGCAGGATTAGTAACTGATTTATCGAGACGACAATAATCCACCTTTTACAAAGTCATACTACTTCGATGAACTTAAAGTGTATGGTAAAATTTAAATAATATGCAGATATTAGTAGCCGAAATAATTGTTAGCATACCTTAATCTGTGGTTTCAATGATTATTTGTTTCATTCCAAGTTTGCGTAAAATCGAAGGTTCGTTTATTATACACGATCATCAGGTTCTAATATTTCGCAGTTTGGCGATCATTTTTTAGGCAAAAATGGCTCAAAATATATTATTCGAAAGCTCTTTTCTTCTATTTTTTGTTTGTTTACATTTTATAATCCTTTTAGTATGTTTACATTTTGTAATCCTTTTAGTAATCCTTTTACTTATATTTTAGAATAAGAAATTTCGGGGGTCGAAAGGGGTAATAAGGGGCATAGACGTAAGGGATGTTTCGAGATTCAAATGTCCGCGATTTCTAGCGATGTTACCTTGTCGATGGTTAAACAGCTAGGATCTGCTTGAAACCTATTTAAAACTTGTTTAATTAAAATGTGCTTGGTACCATTATGCCTGAGCTGCCATACATATTTGGAAGGATTTCAACGAGATCGGCCATAAACAGCGGAATAAAGTGGAGAATTTGGCCAAATACGTCCATTTGCAGGAGGTAGGTATATTTCAAATTATTATTAACTAATTATTATTAATTAATATTAACTATTTTACACCAAAACAGTGCTAATATAATTAAATAAGTACCAATTATGTTTCTATCAAGGAAAAAAGGTAATGTAGATTTGCTGTTTATTTGAAGTTGTAAGCCACAAATTGACGTTTGCATTACTATGAGTATTGCATGGTCATTTTCTTGTGAAATATCAGTGCTATAGGCATTTCACACTTACCAAGGACCACCCCTAAAAGCACCATCTCTGAACCATATAAGCACCTCAGAATAGTCAAAGCTTTTATGGTTTGGTAGATAGCACTATGGCGAAAGCGTCGTTTTTGGGTGTGGTCAGTTTCGGACGTTTCGTCCCGGATTGGGGTTCGGGCAGCGTTACCATGTTGACCGTCATGGTCAACTTGCCCTTTAACAGTTGAGATTATATGTCCTAAATGAAATGCATACAAACTCATATACAGGTCCTAGACTATTTAGGCACCCGCGTTGTATACTGGCGCTCGCTGATCGAATCCTGCTCGCGCCGCTATTTTATGATTTTTTTATACTTTTTGTTTCGCTAATTTAAAAATAGAAAAATAATTACGTCATTGAACAGACACAGTCACGTGACAGAAAAGAGCGGGAAATAAACACGTTGGTTTTAAGCTGTTTACTCGAGGTTTAACGTTCAGAAATAGGTTTATATTTGGTGTATTGTAAAGCGATATAGGCCAAAGAAGTAAGTTCATGTTGTTTATCATAACTAATTTACTTTATTCAGTAGATAATTCTTGTATTTATACTTTTAGATCGAATATTATTATTATTACTACTACTACTAAAACTGATTATTATACGATATTTGGAAATTATTTGTGGTCACTTTACAACCGGTAATTCTGATTCTGGCGAGCCATAAATTCGATTTCTAGCTGACCAGGGCTTAAAGGATATTCAGAAAATGACGGAGGTAACGAAGGAAGCGTTAAACGAAGCGAAAAAGAAGCGGAGATGTGCAAAATCGAGTGTTACAAGGGCAGGAAATGGCTTGGATTATTTATTGAAAAATGAGAGACCTATACCGGAAGTTGAGGAATCACTCGCTAATTTGGAAGATTTATGCAAGAAATTGGTTGAAAAACACGACGAATATATTCAGTTGGTGGATGGCGATGAAGAATTTGCAACTGAGGAAGAATGGATTGAAGATTGTCAACAGAGGTTTATGCAGATAAGGATCAGAACAAAGGATTATTTAAAGGACAAGTCACAAGGTCAGTTTGAAAATGAAACAAACCCAGAAACAGGTTTAGTGCCCAATCAAACCGAGACAACTGTTAGTGACAATGGGCAGCAAGAGCATGACGGTATCCCTGGGTCTGGTCAAGGCCCATCCCATCAAGGTGAAGGTCCATCCCACCAAGGTCAACCCCCAACCCACGAAGGTCAACCCCCAACCCATGAAGGTCA